TGATGACAAATGGCTCAGTGGTATTTATGATGTGAGGCATATGTGGTGCCCTGCATTTAGCAAAGATTTTTTTTCTGGTGGTACCTTGTCTTCACAGAGGAGTGAGTCAACAAATAATGCAATTTGTCGTAAGATGAAGGCCACATCATCGCTTTGTGATTTCCATAGAATTTTCTCTGATGTTGTACACTGTTGGCGGGTAGTTGTAAGGGGTGAAGATCTACGTTGTAGCCAGGGAAACATCGGTTCATATCTTCCCGGTGACCCTTTTCTGGAGAGCATTCGCAGAGTGTACACAGTTGAAGCATTCCGGGAGGTTCAGCAGTTGCACAAAGATGGGATGTTGTGCAGGTAGGAGCAGGTAGAGGTCTCAAATGATGGCAATACTGTGACGTACAATGTTTGGCGGTTTGGGATAGAGCACTTTAAGCACGTGGTTGTACATGACACTAGGTTACAGAGATTCTCATGCACATGCAGGTACTACTCTGAGGCGGGCATGCTTTGTTGCCACATTCTTCGGATCTGTCACGTAACCTCTGTTGATGAGTTTCCTAAAGATTATATATGTATGAGATGGACAAAAGGTTATGGTGCCAGGTCAAGCATAGCTAATGAGGAGATGGAAAAGTCTGCTGGCCCATTCTTTGTGGAAGGCACTAATTATGAGACGATTTTCAAATTTGGTGTATGCAAGTGAATATAACAAAGATGCAAAGAAATGTTGTGATGAGGCTGTTGACAGGCTTAAACAAGAACTCGGCAGTTTCATTGGTTCAAATAATAATGATGAGTCTGTAGAAAATGATGGTGTTATAAAGAATCCAGCTGTAAAGAGGAAGAAGTTTGGTCCCAGGAACGAACGTCCTAAAAGCATTCTTGAGAAGGCATGTAACAAAGTCAGAGGCAGGAAAACAAATGCAAAAATTGCTGCAGACCGAAAAAGAGCTTCAGTTGCATCAGACCTGCATTATCAAAGCATGCGATTTCCTTATCCAAAGGGAGCTGCTCAACATTTTACAGGCTCAGGAAGTTTTGCTGCTCTGAATGCTTCTCATCAAAGCGTGCCATCTTTGAACGTAAATTCCAGTGGACTCTCATTTACTAATCCAAGCATAGCTGCCCAGCATTTTTCATGGGCAGGGGCTTCCACTTCTATGAATGCTTCTTATCAAAGCATGCCGTTCATCAACCAGAATTCCGGTGGATTCTCATTTCCAATTCCCAAGGGAGGTAGGCAGGAGTTTCAAGGCGAAAGCACTTCCGCTGCTGTGAATCCTTCTCATCAAAACATGACATTCATGAATGAAAACTTTGGTGGTTTCTTATTTCCTAACCGAAGGGAAGCTGCCAGGGAGGCTGGAGCGCAGCGTTTCTTCAACAAGATGTTTTATTAGTATTTTAACTTGATGTTGAAATGAGAAGTATTGATGCCGTAAAGATTATTATTTAAAAAGTATTATTTATTTTAAATTGCAGTATTATACAACCAGTTTTAACTGGTTATCCATTTTGTTTGTACTGGTTATCCTAGTGATTATTTTAAATTGGTTATCCATTGTGTTCATAGTGATTATCCAACCAGTTTGGACTGGTTATCCAAGTTGTCTGTACTGGATATCCATTTTGTTTGTAGTGGATATCCATTTCGTTTTTACTGGATATCTAACTCGCCTGTACCGGATATGCAACTTTAAATGCATATAGATATTACAGAAAAACACATGAACACGTTGAAGACAGATAACAAGTATAATCTCATGGATAATCAGGTTAAAGACAGTAGTTGCATTTTTTTTTTACTGGATAATCACAATAAAACATTCGGATAATCAGGTTTAACAAGATGGATAACTGGTACAATGATCATGGATAACCATTACAAACGGTTGGATATTGTTGCACATTGGCTTGATAACCAGTACAAAAGTCCTGGATAAGCAAGATAACATCATAGGATAAGCAGTTTAATAAAGAAGTAGAAAGACCAAGAAATTGGGACACTCAATTTTTGTTTTCTGGCAATTTATAGAAATATTTGGAGAACCAAAATACATTGGATAACCAGCATAGATAATCTGGATAATTAGTACAAAGTCCTGGGACAACCAGTAATATCATTAGATAACCAGTACAAAGTCCTAAAAGTGTGTTAATGTTTCCCAGAAGTAACATGCTCTAATGATGAAACTGGTTTCTAGATCCGGCGATATACTTGAGTGTGTGATTTTCCTGGTAGGAACACTATACAACAACAAATGACGATTATCGTATCCCTTTACAATGAACTGTCCTGCTGGAGATGATTTGTGGCTTAAGAACACTGGATAAAGCCAATCATGACGGAAATGTAATCCCTGTGGAACGTGTGTGTTCACATTTGGGAATTCATGGGTCTCAAATATGCAATCCCATGTGGAAGTATCTGGATCCCATGCCCACATCTCACAGTGATAATTCTGAGTAATCTCGTACTCATCTATTACACACATAGTCCCCTGGAAGTCCAATATTTTCACTTGGAGATTCATATGGGAAGGATAAGTGGGATTAAAGAAGGTTGGAGATGGAGGGCAGTTTACGGGTTGGAATTGTTGAGTGTGGTAGTCAAACACAACCAACAACTCTTGAGGTGTTGCTATTTTAGAGGATAGTTTGTCTACACGCCAGTACACGAATCTATCAAACCAGATTCCATCAGATACAAGGCGAGGACATACATTGCAAAGTGTTTTCCATTCCCCTCTATGAATTCTTGAACAACTTTGAAAAGAAAAAATGCAGCCTTGCATGTTTTTTCCATCGGCAATTAGGGCCATGAAAATGTAAGTTTTTGAGGATGATACGTACCCAAATGTTGTTTCACAATTGCTGAAAGGGACATCATATGGCCATTCAACTGTTGCAAGTTGTGTTGTCTTTGGGTTCAAGAATTTGATTTGAGAGCTGGTTTGCAGACAGATCAAATCTGTGGTGATAGGCATGATTTTATGGATGCCGTCGTCACCCATCGACATCTCTTCTTGAAATCGTATGTGGTTGCATGGGTTATCCATTTGCGCTTTTATGTTGGTGGCGATTAGTTTGTCTTGCAACAGGTGATCTTCTTGGCTTGTTTGAGTGAAAACAAGGATGTTGTTTTCACTTGCAGGGTAGCTCATCTCACGTTTTTGAAGAACAAATTCCTGTCTTTTCGTCATTTCCTCCCAAGCTTTGCTGACACGACGGAACTGTCCAATCTTTTCCAATGACAGATTAATGAACATATTATCAAGCATATCGTGATGGATATATTCATGGTAGATGGGGGACATTTGTTTGGTGCTGGAATTTGAGGAAATTTTTTCGTTTTTCATTTTTTTCTGGCTGTTGGATGTTTTGGATGCTCAAATCAGGCGATCTGGTGTATATGCATATGAAGGAGTTTTAGCCCCAGGTGGAGATCAAGAAACTCATTTAATGACAGTTATGTAAAACGTGTGGCTCTGTAACTACCCATTAGATCATGGTGGATGTACTGTGCACGAACACGAGCATTTTCAGTTTTCTTTTTTTTATTTATACTGCCTCAACCTTTTAAATTCTATTTTAATTACAGAACGTGTGGTTTTCAGTTATACACAGTAACATGTTCCACACTATGGATAACCAGTATGGACATAATGGATAACCAGTGTTGATTATCCTTAAATGAGTTACATAACTGGCTGGATAACCAGTGCAAAATTTGTGGATAACTAATACAAAAGTTCTGGATAATTAATTCAGAGCATTGGATAATGATCATAGAATAAAAACAAAGTGAATTTTACTGTGGATAACCACTATGGATAACCAGCATTTTTTCATAAAGAATAAAAAACAAAGTGAATTTTACACCCATAAAAAGGGCGAAAACAGGTGAATGGTTGAAGGAATGGTACATTATCCAACACACTCAATTATGATTGAATGACGTTTTCGGGCGAAGGATTCTAAGGGATAATTATTATGATTGCCCGGCCGCCGTTTGGAAAATGTGCACACTAATGGGGCAGCTTTTCCAGAATTTGGGCGGGATTCTGAAGCGGGTTGCGTTCCCGGGTTGGGTTTTGCCCGCTAGTTAAGTCAGACGGCCTGGCCCTCATTGAATTTTTTTGTTCTCCATCATTTGGCAAACTTCACCTCATTCATTTTTTTAAACACTGTTTATGAAATTTGCCTTCTTCGGCATCTGGGCGGCGCAGCCGCGGGACTGGCACAGCCGGGGGCACAGCCGGGGGCAATTATGGCTGGATAACTTGTTTACAGAATGTGGATAACCAGCCGTTAGGCGCAGCCGCGGGACCGGCGCAGCCGGGTCGTTTAGTTTATCACGGGGGGATTTATACAATTAATTTGGGTCCCCTCTTAACGCAATAACACACTCTCCTTACACACATACAAAAAAAGGATTACCTTAGCTACATTGGCGTGTTCGGCGGGGCGGTGCAGCCGGGGCAGGTTGGTGACCTGCGATTCCGGTAGCCGCGGGAGTCGTTTAGTTTATCATGGGGGGCGAAGCCCCCCAATGAATATGCCGTTTGGATTGCAGTATTGAGGTTTTGGATAACAAGTAAAATCTTTTGGATAATCAGGTTAAAGAATGTACTTGCATTTTTTTTGACTGGATGATCAGTATAAAACTTTTGTTACATATGGATATGCAGTATTGATTTTTTGGATAAGAATTATAATCTCATGTATAATCAGATTAAAGACTGTACTTGCATTTTTTTGACTGGATAATCACTATAAAACATTCAGATAATCAGGTTTATGAAGATGGATAACTGGTACAATGATCTTGGATAACCACTACAAACGGTTGGATATTGCTTGCACATTGGTGGATAACCAAGACAAAAGTCTGGATGATGAATTCAAAGCATTGGATAATCGGTAGAAAGATCTGGATAACCATTACAAAATGATCTGGACTACAACAGTCAATCAATTATACAAGACAAGATAATGACAGTTCATTTAACCCATCCCTGAATTTTTTTGTCATTGTAGTAAGATTTGCTGCTCAAATCAACATGATCTGGAATTTCTTTTGGTTTTTCTTTAGCAGTATTTGTGTAGAACTGGTGCATTGCTTCGAGGATTTTGTCCTTATTTTTGTTGGATGGGTGCATAAGGATTTTTAACATGTATCTCCACCGGTACTCTTTGATGTTTCCTGTGTGGAAATCCAAAGTAGTACCATCCTCGTATTCACCACCATCATACTTCTCCATGTGGTGCATTGTGAATATTCCACAATCTTCCGCATTCGGCTTTTTGTCGTTGTGAGATGGTAGCGTAACCTCTGTGAAGGTCAACTGAGCATTGACCAGTTCTATGTTTGGAAACACACATTGAATGTACATTTTAAAGAACCGAAACTGCGATGCCATAAAATCCAAGGATCAGCAAAATGCAATGGATAATTCTTAAAGTATGACGATCATTTTGTATCTTTTTTTCACTCACAAGTAGATCTTTTGTTGGCTTGTAGTAGTCCAGATCTTTTGCACGAAGATTGTTGAATGCGAGGACTTTCTTTTCTTGAACCAGCAACACATACAAGAAGTAATGTTCTCTGTAGTGCACTGGGAAATAGATCTGATTTTTCACATTGAAAGGAGAAATCATAAGAAAATTTTTTAACAGCCAGTTATAGAAAGAGTGAAGGAGGTGAAAGATGTTGCTTACGGCTTTTGCCACTATCAGGGATCCTACACTGAGTCCTTGTTCTTCTAGTTCAAGAGCCAACCTCTCATAGAATGTGAACTCGATTTCCTCTTTGTTACTATCCTGTTGATAGTAGCGACTGATTGTATCCTGCGTTATTGTTTAAGATGGTTGGAAAATGATATAATGATCAGTACAATGGCTGGATAACTAGTTTACAGGATGTGGATAACCAGTAATTATGGCTGGATAACTTTTTTACAGAATGTGGATAACCAGCAATTATGGCTGGATAACTTGTTTACAGAATGTGGATAACCAGCCGTTATGGCTGGATAACTAGTGGAAAGCCTTTGGATAAACAACTTGATAGACACGTGAAAAGTATTTTACCAGGGCGGGATAAAGAATAACGGTTTAGTTGACTTACAAATGCGGAAACACCAAAGAATATCCGACTTGGGGAGTCACTTTTAGCTTCTTCTTTGTTTAGGATGACAGCCCAAGCATCTATGATGTTGTTTTCTGTCCATGTGCCTTCCCTCATGGAATAGAATGTTGTCCTGTCTGCCCAAACAATTTTTCCAAATTCAAACAAGAAATTCCTGCATAGAAAAAGTAGTCAAATAGACAAATAGTTGGAAAACTGGTAATTTTTTATCGCACGGGTAAGGATGGTGGCTTTTACGCTGATTTAACAATTTCTTCTTGTCTCTGCAAGAGAGCGAACTCTATCAACAGGGCTTCTTCTTCGGTCATTTTCTTGTTCTCCTCTGTCAACTGTATGAATTTTTTCTTGTTTTTCTTCTGCAGCATGAACGGCGACCTGAACCGTTCGGGCAACCGGTGGATTCTTGGTGGATTTCTCCTCCTAGGTTTTTGTTTGAGGATCCTAGGACAAAACAAAAGAGAGTTAGTATCTAAATTCACCTTTCTATTTTGTTGTGAGCATTCACAGTGGATCAAACTTACTTTTCCACTGTCTTTGTTAAGCCTTCATCAAGTACTTCAGCTTTCTTTGAGATTGCAGGCGGTGGCGTGGTACACTCATTTTTGTCCAGCATGAGTAGACGACCCGTGGTAGAAGCAGCATTCCAATCGGGTGGAATTATGCTTAAAGGGACTGCTTCAACCACCTCTGGGTTTTTCTCAACTTGTTCTGCAACAGCTGCAATGATCTCTAGTTTTTCTGTATCACTCAACGTCTCTGAAGCTGGTGCACTGGCCCTTGTTATAATTTCATCGATGTAAGGAATGGGATTCTTTGTTTCGTCCAGAGCAGATGGTACTGGATATTCTTCTGCTTCTATAGTCTCATTCACATCTTTATCCAGATCAACCTTTACTGTGACATCTTCCTGAGTGTTCTTCTCCTGGGTTGTCTCATAACTGTCTTCTTGACTGGAGAAGATACCCAGGTTAAAGCTTGGGATACTTGCGTCTTTCAATGCTTTCCTTTTCCTGGTACCAGTGCTTCTCGACCTTTTGGTATAGGTGGATGTCACAGCTGAATCCCGCTCGGTGGAATCTTGATGGGATCTCTTCTTTTCTGTCGTGGAGACATTCGTTGCATGTTCTGCAGTACAAAGTTGGAATGTTGGATAATCAGTACGAAGGTACATATATATTAGACACATTGGATAACCAGTTCAAAGAAAAAGGATAATCAGTTCAAATAGGATGGATAATCAGGAGGAACACAATGGATAACCATCTAAAGGGGAAAAGGAGGGTTTTACAGGCAGTACAAATTAGACAGATTGGATAACCAGTTCAAATGAAGTGGATAATGAGTTCAAATAGGCTGGATAAGCAGCAGAACACAATGGATAACCATTTTAAAGGGATAAAAAGGGGTTGGATAAGCAGTACAAATTAGTTGGATGACAAGTACAATCACATCAGACAAGTATCTGTTTCATTACCTCTTGGTTGAGTTTGTTTTTCATCAACCTGCACTTCTTTTGAAGTAGGCACAGATTTCCTCACTGGAAGAGAATTCTCATCATTTGTCTGGCTCAATTGATCCAGTCCCTATGCCCCTTGTAGTTGAGTTTGTGGTTCATCAACCACCACTTCTTTTGAAGTAGGCATAGTTTCTTCACTGCAATAGAGCCTCATCATTTGTCTGGCTCAATTGCTCCAGTCCCTGTGCTTTGTCAATTTCAATGTCTTGAAATTTTGCGAGATTAATTGGAGCTTTTACAGTGTTGTCATCAGTTTGTTGGTGTTGCTGTTGTTCTTGTTGGTCAGCTACTTGTTGTTGCAGCTGTTCTATGATTGCTGCAAATCTGCTTTCAGCGGACTTCCATGCCATCTCGCACAATTCACAAATCATGCATCCCGGAGGTCTTCTTTGGTGTTCTTCTTGCTCTTGTTCCAGTTGCGTTGTACCTGAAGGCGGAGGCATCTTTCTACTCATCGACACCATTGCATCTGATAGGATCTTGATTGTTTGCTTTGCTTGTTCATCTGGTTCGATTCTTAACTCCATTTCCTTCTCACGAATGTCTAAAACAGTTTTGCTCATCGTGATAATCAACTGGTAGAATTTTTCGTAAAGAGCGGCAAGGTCCTGCAAAATTGAATGTAGTTAGTGGAATGTGGAGTTGCTAGGTTGGATACGCAAGTTTGATCTGAAAAAAAACGGTAGAACAGTACATAGACTTGCTGTGTGTTGGGGATTCCCTGTGTATCCTCCTTCTGTGATTCAGCCTCTGGTTGCTCATCTCGAGATGTTGCTGAGGACGGTTTCTTGAGACGTTCAAGTGTCTGGACATCTGTGAAATTGATTCCCTGAAGCCTTATTCTGTCGTCCAGCATCCTTTGGTCCCAAGATTTGATCACAGGGAATGACCTCGGATGTGCTCTCTCATACTCACACCTGTCAAGGTAGCACAACTAACAAAAAAAAAAAAAAAGTTGGTGTCCATCAGAATTTAGACAGATTTAAATGAAGTGGATAACCAGTTCAAATGAAGTGGATAATGAGTTCAAATAGGCAGGATAACCGGCAGGAACACAATGGATAACCATTTAAAGGGGAAAAAGAGGGTTGGACAAGCTGTACAAATTGATAAATTGGATAACCAACTAATTAGTACTCGTCGAGATCTACCCAACAAAATCCATTTCGAATATTTTTTTTGAGTTTAAAGATGACTAAATTTTGATGGGCAGAATAAGTTGGATATCCAGTAAGTTGGATAACCAGTATGCACGAGCTGGATAACCAGTATGAACAAAGTGGATAACTAGTTCAAACAATTTGGATAACCATGTAAATCTATTGGATAACCAGCATTAGCGCATTGGATAATCCAATACAAATCAATGATTGGATAACCAATACAAACGAGTTGGATAACCAACTTAGTTTATTATTTTTTAAAAAAATAATAAAAACAAAAACCAGGTTGGATAAATAATACTAATTAGTTGGATAATCTGTCCATCAGAATTTAGACAGATTGGATAACCAGTTCAAATGAAGTGGATAACCAGTTCAAATGAAGTGGATAATGAGTTCAAATAGGCAGGATAACCGGCAGGAACACAATGGATAACCATTTAAAGGGGAAAAAGAGGGTTGGACAAGCAGTACAAATTAGTTGGATGACAAGTACAATCACATCAGACAAGTACAAGCAAATTGGATAAACATTGCAAGCAATATGGATAACTGATAAAATATGTATGGATATGGTAAGTACCGGGAAAAAAGTGATTGCTCCGGTGAATGGTTTCCCATCGTGGTGACTTTTGCATCCTTTCACAAGTGCATCAATCACATATTGACACCAATTGCATTGTGTCACTTCATTGATGTTCACAAGGGACTTCAGAATGTTCATTGTGATCCTGGAAGTGGTGTTTCCATGTAGGAATGTGCTCACAACAAAGACGAGGAAATCTCGTTTGAAGTCATCACCAAAATCTTTTCGACTAGCAATTAATTGTGCCGCGGGGGATCTCGTTGGCAGGAATTTATGGGGAGTGTCAAATCCACACAAATAAATTAACCTACTTCAAACTACTGTAATATAGGGAAGTAAGGTCATCTCCTCAGGGAACGATGGATTGTTTCCTTCAAATTAATGCAAAGGAGATTTTTGGATTGTTTTTCTAAACTAAAATAATGAAATTCAAATAACAAAAATAAATAAAAGAAAAGAAATCCAAGTAACAAACTACTGATCCAAAAGACGGACAACTCAATTATTTCACTGATCATAGGTCAAAAAAAAGGCATTCTTATATTCAAGTATTCAACTCCCAAATTTATTAGGATATCCTTAACAAATTCAGACTTCTCTAAAAACATCAACCAAACCCAGCATTCAATCAAATCTTGCTATGACAGACTGGGCACGATAGCGTTCCATGTCTAGCCACAACAGCAATACACACAAGATCTAGTTGAACCAAAACCAATTAACAGAGATAGCTACAATTAATTAATTTTGTCTTGTTGATTCCACATTTAAACTAGCATATGTATCCTATGTCTCACTAATACACATATTCGTCTAATTGCTACCTAGTGCCAATGGTTCGTGTCTATTACGTAACATTCAACCAATGAATAGCAAAAGAAAGTAAAAATCAAATCAAGTTGTCAATTTGAATGAAATCTACCTTCATGAAATAAAACCAAGAATCAACAAATACAAGAATTAAACATAAGAAAGATAAATTAAAGCATAACCTCACAATGAAACAACTGAATTAATCCCTTGAATCAGTAACAAAACATTTAGTTACTCATAATCATGGACATGATAGCTAATTTATTCATAGAAAAATAGTACCAAGTCTAGAAGAATTGAAAACCCGGAGAAACGGAGACAACCCTGACCTCCGAAGCCAAAAGAGAAAAAATCTCGAACAAGAAAACGACGGCCGTGCGATGAAGTGAAAAAAGGATGGCCAAAACAAGAAAACATACGGCCTTATATAGAATTAGGTCAGCCGTATGCTGCCAAAAGTTAAACAACAAATTGCAGCATTGGTCCTTCCACTTCCAACTCTCTTTCAATTTGGCCCAAACTTTCTTCAATGATAAAATTCAGTCCATAAAGTTTCTTATTAGCAGCTTCTTCTCCCAACAACTTCAATACTTTGTAATTAGGTCCATCATTGGAGTGAACTTCTTCCTTTGCTCAAGTTGGATGATTTTTTTCAGACTCTTTTTGTATCAATTAGCTCCAAAAAGTTGTAAACTCCGATTCCCAGCTCCTAACACAAAACATTAATAAAACTTAATGAATTAAAACCATCCAAGTCCATAAACTCATAAAATAATAACAATTAAAGCATAATTTATGGACTCTATCAATTTATTACTGTATCCCATTCTTTTCTTGAATGCATCCACCATCTCAGCGTGGTCCGTTATAGCGGGATCATTCTGTTTGAATTCTTGCACTGGTTTGGGTCCACAAGGAAGATCAAGTATAGCAACAACATCTTCCTGTTTGATATCCAGTACATTGTTCCCATTCAATGGGACTTGTCTGGCACCGGCCTGGAAATTGCTTGCCAGAAAATTACACAAGGCTGTTGGAATATTTTTGATTTTGAGATCCAGCAATGCGCCAAATCCCATATCTCTGATAGCATGCCTTTGTAGTTGGCGATAATCTACCGCATCTGGCTCTTTTGTAAGATCTGTTGGTTTATTGATTTCAGTGATGAGTTGGAAGAGATGGTTCGGTGTCATCCTTGTCTCAAATTTCTTGACAGAATCTTCAGAACTGATTGGCCATGGATCTTGACCAATTATCAGTTTGTTGTTCTCAGGTTTCATTCTTTTCTTTTGGGCTTTTTATCATCGTTGTCATCAGCAACCACAAGTTGCTTTGGATTTCCTGTCGGTGTGCTCTTCTTCCTCTTTGGTTTTCTCCACAAGTTTTGGGTCCTTGGAGTTTGTACAGGGGACTGTTCTTCTTGGGTTGGTGTTTGTTTTTTATATAGCGTCAGTGTTCCTTCAGGGAGCTCCATTATTTTCTCTGGTTCAGGATCCGGTGATCTGTCTGGGTTGCAATTGAGGTCGTGGAATGCGCTGATCCACTCGTGCCTATATTTTGTCCTAAACTCCTTTAGGGCACTGTTGGCATTGCACAATCAGTAAGAAGTCAGTGGACAAAATAGCAGGATATGGGTGGATAACCAGTATGAAATGGGTGGATAACCAGCAAATAATGTATGGACATATAGCCAGATAAAAGCACATCTTAAAAAAAATAATGGATAACCAGTTTACTCACTTCGGATAACCAAGTTAAAATGGGTGGATAACCAGAAACAAAGTTTGGACAAGCAACACATAAAATCAAATGTTTAAAAAGCATGGATAACCAGTTCACAACATGTGGATAACCAGTTCACAACATGTGGATAACCAGTTTACCACTTGTGGATAACTTGTATGAAATGGTTGGATAACCAGCAAAGAATGTATGGACGTAGCCACATAAAAGCACATCTAAAAAAAACAATGGATAACCAGTTTACACTATGCGGATAACAAAGTTTTGACAAGCACCCCTAAACGCTAAACCCTAAACCCTAAACCAGTAACAAAAAAAAAAACACAAAAACATAGATAACCAGTTCTGCTTGTCCATGCCACATAGAATAAAATGTAAAAAAAGCATAGATAACAAGTTTAAAACTTGTGGATAACCACTTTACAACTTCTGGATAACCACCCTACAACTTATGGATAACCAGAATGAAATATGTGGATAACAAATGTCAGTATGATATAGATGGATAAACACAGATTATGGCATGGACAACGATCACATAGCATTCGCAGGAAACCATGGATAAATGGTTCAGATCTAGTGGAAACACACAAGATATTGCTGGATAATCGAAAAAAAGAGGATCCCGGAGCAATATACTTACCATTCAAGCATGTATAGATGAAGGAGAGCTTGAGATGTCCGGACGTAGGGTTTCTCGCCGTCGTCTGTGTGTGTGTGTGGGTTTGCCCTAAATTGGAGAGTTTCCGTCGACTGTGTGTTTGTGTGTGCTTATGCGTGAGGATAAAAATGATGAAAATTACTTTATGTGTACATTTAATGTAAAGGTAAAAACAGTTAAGCGCGTGGTGCGCGTGTGTTTGGTGGGGGGAGTATACGGTACACCCGGGTGCACTGGATACGGCCTCCATTGTGAGTATCTTCCTTAGAGTAAAGTGCTAAAATAATTTTATGAGGCTGTATCCAGTATACCCAGGGGCACCGTGCCCCCCTCCTATTTTTTGCACGAGTAGTCCTTATTGTACCTTTTTATCAATCTTTAATATTTTGTAATTTTAGCCCCTGTGACTTTTTTCCTTCTCTTCCAAAAAAAAACAGCTCTAATCTTTCAACGAGCATATCTCCCAATCCGTGAAGAATTTGTGAACGAATTATACATGAAAATTATAGTACTCGTCGAGATCTATTCAACAAGATCCATTTCGAATATATTTTTTGAGTTTAAAAATGACTAAATTTTGATGGGCAGAATAAGTTGGATATCCAGTAAGTTGGATAACCAATATGCACGAGTTGGATAACCAGTATGAACAAAGTGGATAACTAGTTCAAACAATTTGGATAACCATGTAAATCCATTGGATAACCAGCATTAGCGCATTGGATAATCCAATACAAACCAATGATTGGATAACCAATATAAACGAGTTGGATAACCAACTTAGTTTATTATTTTTTTAAAAAATAATAAAAACAAAAACCAGGTTGGATAAATAATACTAATTAGTTGGATAATCTGTCCATCAGAATTAAGCCATTTTTAAGCCCGAAAAAATGTTCACTGTGGATCTCGTTGGATAGATCTCGACGAGTACTATCAATTTCATATATAATTGGTTCACAAATTCTTCACGGATTGGGAGATATGCTCGTTGAAAGATTAGAGTTGGATATGCATAAAAACCAAATGGATAGATATCCAGTACAAACAAGTTGGATAACCAGTATGAACAGATTGGATATCCAGTTTAAAAAGATGGATAACCAACTTATTTTACATTCATATTATTCTTTTCCTTCTATCTAATGATTCGTAAAGAATTATCACACGAATTATATATGAAATTTATAGTACTCGACGATATCTATCCGATAAGATCAATGTTGAATATTTTTTTTGAACTTTAAATGCATTTAAATTTTACGGGCAGAAAATGAAGAAATGTGTTTTTCGTTTTTCTTTGAAAAATGGTTATCCAACCGTTTTGGAGTGATTATCCATTATGTTCGTACTTGTTATCCAATCATATGTTTGACATTCACTCTTTAAAAAAAAAAGAAAGATGGATATCCACCTCTATTCTATTCTGCCCGTCAGAATTAAGTCATTTTTTAGCCCGAAAAAATGTTCACTGTGGATTTCGTTGGGTAGATCTCAACAAGTGCTATAAATTTCATATACAATTTATTCACAAATTCTTCACGGATTGGGAGATATGCTCGTTGAAAGATTAGAGTTGGATATGCATACAAACCAAATGGATAGATATCCAGTACAAATAAGTTGGATAACCAACATGAACACAGTGGATAACCAGTTTAAGAAGATGGATAACCAACTTATTTTACATGCATATCGTTGTGTTCCTTGTATCTTTTGATTCGTAAAGAATTATAACACGAATTATATATGAAATTTATAGTGCTCGATGAAATCTATCCGATAAGATCAATGTTGAATATTTTTTTTGAACTTTAAATGCATTTAAATTTTACGGGCAGAAAATGAAGAAATGTGTTTTTCGTTTTTCTTTGAAAAATGGTTATCCGTTGTGTTCATGCGGATTATCCAACCGGTTTGGAGTGATTATCCATTCTGTTCGTACTTGTTATCCAATCATATGTTTGACATTCACTCTTCAAAAAAAAAACAAGAAGATGGATAACTACCTCTATTCTGCCCGTCAGAATTAAGTCATTTTTAAGCCCGAAAAAATGTTCACTGTGGATTTCGTTGGATAGATCTCGACGAGTACTATAAATTTCATATATAATTCGTTCACAAATTCTTCACGGGTTGGGAGATATGCTCGTTGAAAGATTAGAGTTGGATATGCATACAAACCAAATGGATGGATATCCAGTACAAACAAGTTAGATAATCAGCATGAACACAGTGGATAACCAGTACAAATAATTTGGATAAGCATGTAAGTCCATTGGATAACCAGTAGTAGGGCTTTGGATAATCAATATGAACACATTGGATATCCAGTTTAAGAAGATGGATAACCAACTTATTTTGAATTAAGAAGTTGGATAACTAAGCAGTAGAAACAAAATGGATAATCAGTTCAAACCGATTGGATAATCAGCATGAACACGATGGATAACCAATTTAGAACAAGTTGGTTATCCATTTTGTAAAACTGGATATCCACCCCTATTCTGTCCATTAGAATTAAGTCATTTGTAAACCCGAAAAAATATTCACTATCGATTTTGTCGGATAGATCTCGACGAGTACTATAGATTTCATATATAATTTGTTCACAAATTCTTCACGGATTGGGAGATTTGCTCGTTTAAAGATTATGGATGTTTTTTTTGGAAGAGAGAGAAAAAAAATCACTGGGACTAAACGTGTAAAATATAGAAAGATTGAGAAAAAAGAACAATAAGGGCTAAAAATGTAAAAAATAAGAGGGGGGGCACGGTGCCCCCGGGTATACTGGATAATTTGTCAATTTTATCTGTAGGTATTATGGCTTGCTTAGGACTCTTGACAACTACGGAATTAACTCCACATCAGTAGTTGACTATGCCCAGAAAAAAGTTGAAAGAAAAGCCACGCATGTCCTGTTTAGTAGCTCCTTCTCGTTTCCTCACGTCTTTCACTTCCTTGTTTGCTGGAGAGCTATCCGATCTTCTGCACCATTTAATCATTGAAACTATATTTAAAAAAAGGGGTGTTAAAGATAATCATCATGAAGAGGAGATCATCAAGAAGAGGAATCCTTGTTTAGTTTATGAGTTAGGGATATAGCTAAGGGTTGGAATCATAAATGTTGAGTACGTTGATAACTTTAGTCTTTTTATTATTATCTAGTAGTGAAAATATGTTAATTATTATGTGTAGAAGGCCTATAAATAAGGCTTCTATCTCAGTCTTAGTATTCGGTCAGTCACAATGTAGCCATTCAATCCATCTCTGATTTATTTTTTATTGTTCTTCAAATACTTATTTTCTTCTGGGGGAGAATAATGAATATAGAAGAAGAAAGAGAGAAGGAAATAAAGTGGTAAATTGAGGGCTTATGCTATCAAGTATGAAAGAGCATGACAATGGAGAAAAAAAAATGTGCAGGAGGAAGACGGAGAGAACAATGAGACAGTATAGAGAACTGAAGTGGCGAAAAGAGGCTTTATTATATGCGAAGAAACTCAAATAATGGATAGAAAAATCGGAGAGCAGAAATGAATCTTGCAATTTGTTTTCAATAATTGTGTGTGTGTTTGTGTGTGTGTGTGTGTGAGAGAGAGAGAGAGAGAGAGAGAGAGAGAGAGATGAATAACTTGGTTTAATATAGCTTGAAAAAAATTCCTTCGATTACTTTTCAATGCTTTTTTTTTTCTTGTTCTTTTCCGTTTTCCTTTGAAATATAATTACAAGTCAAGGATCAACGTTATTTTCATGCATACGTAAACACCTTTTGTTCTTGTCCACTCAAAAGGTGTTGTACTTGAATTAGAGTCATGTGACTAGGCTGATATTGAACTATGTCGGAATTGATTGCGATGCAATCTACAAACCATGTCTTTTTCGTTTATGCCTCACACAAGAAACAAAGTTGAAAAAGTATATAACGAGAAATACAGTGTCCGATACTTTGAAAAGGTTTTCAAGGTGATTTGAATCCATCGTCGTTGGCAAAATACTTTGTACATCGAACCGCTGTGAGTCCACAACGTTATTTCAAAAGTCCAGGAGTCAGTGTGCTATTTGGGGTTATCCTCACTGAGATATCGCACCGAAACTAATTTGCGGGAAATCTTGTAAAATACTTCATTTTGTTTGCACAACATAAGAGATCATGAACATTGGTTACATGGTTCACAAATAAACATGTATTACGCGCCACCTTGATAGACAAATGTAAATTTGTTTTAAATGGTTGCCACAGAACCAAATTCCGAATAATAAACATGTATAATGAACCAATATCTTTCCCTCCGAGCATTTGCCTCAAAGATGTTCAAGATACCCGAGAAGATTCAGAAAAAGGTCACGCATGTCCTGTTAGTAGCTCCGTTGTTTCCTTTTGTGTTCCGCTTTCCTGTTTGTTTAAGAGATTGCGCAATCTTCTGTGCCAACATGATAGATGTCCTCCACTAAAAGGGATCGAAGCACAATTGATTCTTTGACTGTCTTTCGAAAAACATACACATGGAGAAATGAAGGAGAACGCGAAAGAGAGAAGAAGAGAAAAATGTTGGATTGAGGGATCTGTGCCATGAAGTACATATGAAAGTACAGGATATTGAAGGAAATGAAAGTTGAGTTCAACCTGGTGGATTGCCTTGAAAAATAGTAGCCAATGATCCATGCATTTGTTTGTTTTTTTTTTCTTTTATTTTTTCTTTTTTTTTAAGGTGCCAATATGAAGGAAGGAGAGAAAAAAGAAACAGAAGAAAAAGAATTGGTGAAGTGAGGGCTCTATTATGCTATGAAGTGCAGGACTGATTGATTTGAAAAATGAAGAGGAACGAACATGGACGAACCAGAAACTTTTTGAAACTTTGTATAGTTTTCTTCTTTTTCTTCTTTTTTTTTTTTATCCTTAAGTTTGTATGCAGTACATTTCACCTCCTTCAGTTGTTAAGTAAGAGAATCAATGGACCAGTCATTTTAGTTTTTAGGAGATTAATCACTG